CCCCTTGCCCGCACGCAGCTCACTCCACCCAAAACCCCTATTCCCTCTTCCGCTGCGCGGCACTGCTCTGAAAAACATTACTGATGCTTCACCCTACACGGAGCTGCCCCAGAGTCTGAACCTTTGCAGCTAAGAGCAAGTCATGCATAAATTAAATGAGGTTAACAAGGCTGGTGGAAGGTCATCTCATTTTTCGCCATGACCTCTTTCCAGTTTTTTAGCGTCTGTTCCTAAATTATTTTTGGGGGTGTATCTTTCTGTCTAAGGCTTGTGGGGAATGCTTTGGGCATAGAGGAATTGCTTTGGGCATATAGGAGTTGCTTTGGGTGTGTAGGAATTGCTTTGGGCACATAGGAATTGCTTTGGGTGTGTAGGAATTGCTTTGGGCATATAGGAATTGCTTTTGGGCAGGCTGGAAATTGGCTTTGGGAGGTGAGCAGCCCTGCTGTGCTCATGGCCCCCCATCTGCAGCATCAGACGCCTGCGCCAGGTTCAGGTGAGACCCAGGGTGAGACCCAGGCTGTGCCCCCTCGCTGGGGACACTGGGGACGAAGCAGATGGCTGCTGTGGTACGGCCGACGGGATGCAACAAAACCGAGTCTCACAGCAACTCTTTTTTTCTGGCCCGCGTCGAAGGAGCTGCGCATAAAATAACCAGTGATGAAAAGGAGGGGGGAGCAGAATGTGAAATTAATTCCGTTGAAACAGGGTTATACCGAGAACTCCTGATTCTCACATCTTTTCCTGATTTATTTATTGCTTCGCTGCGAACTCAAGTGGATTTCATTGAGAGCTGGCAGCGCACACCCGGTTCATACAGAGGCCGAGCACATGCCTCGGTTTTGGCACGTAACTGACCCAGGCGTGAGGGTCGGTTTTTGGGGCGACAGCTCAAATGAAACGATGGCTTTGTGGTGGGACCGGGTCGGCATTCGGGCCGTTCTCCTCCCCCTACAGAGCCAGCTCCAGCCCTGGCCATGCAGCAATCCCCACTCCCGGTTATTAACCT